GACCGAGCTCGTACGCGGTGCCATTGTGCTGCTGTGAACCTTTCGAAGCATGTCAATACCGAAGCCCGGGTGTTAGAGTCAAAGTGAGACCCAGACTGCGACCTAGAGATGATAGGTGAGAAATATGTTGGACAATCCCGAGTCCCCAACTTGCCCAAGAAAGATGGACACATCGGCCAATGCATCCACTAGGCTAGCTGTTGACAAACTATTTGGTTCTAGAAGGATGTTCTCCATCTCGAGGATTCTGTTTTGCACAGACATGCCACATGCTTTGAGGGAGATTCAAGTTTTGGATCGCATATGCGGAGAATATGCCTTCTGGAGGTTGGATAACGGCGACTCCTGTGCGGGGGTCTGCCGTAGCGGAGAGTGAATGGATGGGGTGAGGTAACAGTTGGGGCATGTCTTTGCAAGCAAAACGGCAGCCTCCAAAACGAACTTCTCCACCTATCCTCAACTTGAATGATCGCAGTCAGAAAGTCGTATAGCCTATCCGGTTTCCATCCAGAGGGACGAGTAACTTCGCTAAAAAACAGGATATCAGCTTCAGAGTGCTGGATGGGACTGAAGGCTTACGCCGGTACCGAGCGAACGAGTTCGAGAAGAATTAATCGTGCTTCTTCCCGGGGCCATTTGCACAGATAAACCGCAAACAGGTACACAGAAGATTCTGGGCCCGCACAAATTCGCGACAAGGTCAGAGTAAGTGCCTGCTTGGCGATACGGACGGAGTACATGGCTGGGTCTAAATATCGTTTGATCTAAAGACCTTCGTTTGTGCGGAAATTCGAGCTCACCGCAAAGTTCCAACAAGTCATTACACCTGGAACCGGTCAAGGGTGAAGTACGGAGGCGTATAGTCGCCAGTCTACGCCGAATCACAAGTGAGTCGATTCCACGAATTGCGGCCTCGCCGAGAGCAAGTAGAGCTCTCCCGGAAACAGTCCCAGGACCCCATATCGTGGAAGTATCGGTGGATGTTCTCTGCGAATCTGATGATGCTGATACATCATGGAGAGAGACGCTCTTCTCGGTTTCTGCAATGGATGGAAGTCGGGACAGATGGTGGACTTCTTTTGGTGCTCGAGCCATACGCCTGGCGATAAAGAAGATGGGAAAGTGTGCTGCGACCGTGCTCTGAGGGAGCTCAAAATTTGCTGCCATATAGCTGATACGGAATGATCATTTTTGGCAACCGTGAGCGAGATTCCATTGGAGGCTATATGTTGACAGTCGAGCTAGCCCACCACACCCGGTGATAGATACGATAGCCATCGTCTTCTGTGCCAGAGAGGAGCAATGAATGAGATAAAAGAGCGTCCCGCTGCGGAAGCCCATGTGACGAATCGATTGAACGCCACAAATCACACAAGCTGTCCTTCACAGTGAAGTCCAAGTGGCCCCCCATTGACGCGACGGCGTTTTATCATCACCACGTCGTCGTGTTATTCGCGCAGAGCGCTGAAAGGAAAGAAACACGTCACTCAGAGGATGAGGATGGGTGTGGACATTATAACGTGTACCAACGAACATGGAGGACGGCCAGCAAGCTCGGAGAAGAAACGAGGCACGTTTTAAAGAGCCAGGACATAGCTACGCCGAGGAAAAGGGTCAGATTCGCGAAGAACCAGGAGAACCCTGGATTCTAACGGTAGTGGCGATATCTTGCGTGCGGAAGGAAGTCGCACGCACGGGAGACGGACGTGCTCGAGAGGCGCGCCGATGCGGATAGCCCATGAGGAAAGGGGTAACAAGACCTCCCCGGTCGTACCACACGACATCGGCATTTTTCGTGGAGAACTCGACATTTCACGGAGCGTCAAGTTGGTAGACAGTACCCTTTCAATTGGCAACCGGTCGAAAGTCGCCAGAGGGTCGGGGCTTCGGCAGAAGGTGTGGTCTCAATGTTGCGTTCGCCAAGGTGCGGCAGGTAGCTCGAATACAAAGTGCTCAGTCCCGCGTTGCTGTGCGCATGGTCCTCGCTCCCCTAGGGAGTACGGGTCTGAACCAAGTACGGGAGATTTTGAAGCGAGAGAAAGTCTTGAGTAGTGCGAGACCATCAAAGAACTCGGTGCAAGAAGTCCGAAGAACAATGTGTATTGTCTCTGGCGACGAGATTTATGTGTAGTCCTGCCAGAACCATTCTCAAAGACCTGGTCTACTCTTTTGTCTGTCGTAGCAAACCGTCAGGCGCTATTGGGTCATTTTGCTTGGTGTGTTCGCATACCAAGCTAAGCTTTCATTTGCTCTCCTCCTTCTCCCCTCCTCCTTCTTCTCATCTTTGGGTGGCTCAGCAGCCTGTCGAAGCGGGTTTGCGAAGATAAGTTCCAGGGAGTACATATATCACACCCCAGGACTCACAGCATCGGAGGCCGCCTCCTCATTCTTCTGTAGATCATGAGCCCGTTTAAGACACACGACTAGAACGCATACTTACTGCCACCAGCCGCCTTCGGCACATCCTCCGCCTGAGTAACCATGTCGGTTCGCAAGCCATAGGAGGGATATTAGATGTCACGTACCGTAGCGGCGTTAGTCGCGCATCGAATACATCCGCCTCCGTTCCCTCATCATCCTTTAACCACTGCATGCGTCCTCGTGCGCCTCCGCGTGCACGGCATGCGCGCCGTGCGAATCGTGCGAATGTGCCCATGGTGCCCGCAGCGATCTTTTGCTTAATCGCAAAAGTATCTCGCAGCCAGATACGCTAGCTGTGGTTGCACCGATTCAGTTCGTGCCTTTGAAGCCCAATCGTGAGGTAAAAGGCTCACAGAGGGGATTGTGATGACCGCGGGCGGCAGCCTGGAGGATGAGGGGGAACGCTTCTAAATGAGAGTGTAGAGTACGGTGCGCGGGTGTGACGCACGATCCAAGGCCATGTCCGATTTCGGTTGAATTCGGCGTGGTGGCCGGCCGTCGCGTCCGCGCTATGAAGCGCCCGCGCAGGGCGAATATTCGAGCGCGCAGACCTGGCTGAGCGCGTGCTCGTTGAGAAAGCCTGTCGGCACAAACGGATGCCATGGTGGAGGTTTCAGGTGAAAGTGACAGTCACGTTCGGGCATAGTCGGGCCAGAATTGCCTAGAACCAATTATTCTGAATTACATGTACCGGCAACAAAATTTAAACAGCTACATAGCGCGCCAACAGTCCTAACAGGTCCTCCCCAATCCAACCCAGTCCTCGACATGAACACCAACCCCATCGCAGCCTGAACGGATCGCTCGTCGCGAGGTCGTCGGTCGAGCAGCCGCTCATACATTTCGTCCAGCGTCATATCAGCGCAAACGGCAACCATCATCTCCCTGCAGCACGCCTGAGATGCTTTCAGCGGCGCTTTCTCCACGTTCGAACACGTTGTCGTCGCCCGCAGGCACGGAGGCGGCGGCGGTGCGCTTCACAGGGCTCCCGGAGTGAGATTGAGCATCTAAAAGTAAAGCAGCGTCAGAGAACGAAAAGAGTAAAGCCAGAACGCGGAGCGTTACGCTGCTGAATAGAAGATGGTCGTCGTTGGATATTGCAGCGCCGGCGGACTGAGGGTCATCGTTTTCGTTATTATCCTCGAGATTCGGAATGTAAGAATGCAGGTGAGAAGGGGTGATCAGCGAGTGGGTGTGCTTGAACGAATCATTGGAATACGAAGGATCGAAGGGTGGTTGCAAGCCAGGGACTGGAGTGTTCTTGTTCGAAGGCAAAATGGGGAAGGCTCGATGCTAGCTGTAGCGTGGGGTGGGGGAGTTGATTTCCGGAAAACAGCGACGGGCGGGCTACTGTGGATGCGAACGGAGACGCGGCAGGATTGACGTAAAATGCAGGGGCGCCTCCAACGGAAGGAACAAGGAGGGGGCTGTACGGTTATAAGCCGTCGGGTTGGAAGATGCAGGAGTTCTGCTCGTGACATTCGCTGGAGCTTGTTCAGGGATTCGTTGAAGAGCAGGATCGACATTCTGCGGGGATTGCCACAGGGCGGCGGGGGAGGAGCAGCGGACCGAAAGAGGGATAGGCAGACTGCTGGGAGTGCGAAGCGGAAGACTGTTGCTGGTGGGGCGGTGGGCGCAGTTGGAAACTCGAAAAGTTAGAGCCAGTACTCCGGATCCGTAGTAATATGCATGGCTTCCGGGCGCTGCATACGAGACAAGAGGGGCGAGAGTTATTCTGGGCGGAAGTTGAGCTGAAGGAGGTGGTAGGTTGAGCGAGAGGCGGAATGGAGGGCGCGTTGAAGTTTTGCTGCGGGGAGGAATGTAAGAGTCGTCTGCAGGAGGTAGATTGTCGCTAATTGGGCCAGGCGGCAATTCGAGTGTGGATTCTTCGAGTTTGGGCACGCGAGCGACGCGTCCCCGTTTCTTCTTCTGCGCCGGTGGGTCGTTTTCAGGCTCTGAGATCGCTTCACGCTTCGTCCCCCGTGCGTCCCGTTCTCTCTTCCTGAAGCGGCCGAACCACGATCTGATCCATTCGCAGGTGCTGCAGAACAGTTAAAGCAGGTGAAGGGATGTAGGCAAGATGCACGTGCAGGCCAGTGTCGTCGCTCAGCCTTTTGACCTCTTCAGCGCTTAAGTTCTGGTCGGGAACGAATGCGGCCTGTAGGGTTTGGAGCTGCAGTTTGCTTGCGCGCACGGCTACGGGCGAGTTAGTGTATGCGTCAGATAGTAGGAGACCAAAGTTACGATGCTTTCTCTTGACATTCGCGCTCATGCCAATGGTTGAGAGGAGGGCAGTCACGTGTGCTCGACTCAACGCCAATATCCGAATAAGGCAAGGCTATGGCACCTTTTTGGCGAAAGAAAATTCTGTATCTCAGCCGTTAAGCATATTTTATTTGGTTTCAAACAGAATTTTGACGTCGTATCGGGTAGCTGGAGAGTAGGGAGGTATTCAGCTCGATAGCTTGTTTTGAACAAAATCGAGCATCTCTTGTGTTACTGATTTGTGGTAGGAGGAGGTGGGCAGAGGAAGGGATAAAAAGAAAGAAGACCGTTCTAAAAGCGGGGAAAAATTAAGTAGCCCACCGCGAGGGTCGAACTCGCAGCCTTCAGATAAGTCGCCGCCAGGCAGACCTTGTAAAAGTCTGACGCTCTATCCGATTGAGCTAGGCGGGCGATAGTGACACCAAACCTGACCTCCCATCGAGCATCAGTTACGATCCTAAATTGTGGTCTAGCTCGATTTTCAGGACTGCTGTCAAGACTTTGGACCTTTCAGCCAGTTGAAACAGTTACCTAAATAGTGACTTGCCCGAACCTTTCAACATTTCGAGATATCGGCGCGTCGCAGATCCCTTGCACTTATAAAATCGACCAGAATACACGCTACAAGTACTGATGAGCACCCTTCGAACCCACCATATGAATCGTGCCTTGTCCTAGTAGACAAGGTAAGAAAAAATGAAGCCTTTTGATAAGAACTAAATTAGGGGTATTTACAGAGACGGAGTAGTGGTTACCGCTCCCACTTCCACCAACACCAATCCCGGGCAGCCAGAGGACAGAGACTCATCTCCCTTGGCCGGTCCTGCCGCTCGAGCGCCGACGACGCGACCGCGGGCGGCGGGCGCAGGATGAGGTAGAGCCGATCGCGGGGAGCGGGAGGGGGAGGGGCCGGCCCTGGTAGCAGCGAGGAGACGGCCTCGGCGGACTGGTCGACGGAGTTGCTGCGTCGCTGCGAGAGGGTCGGGTTGATCGCCGCAAGCGGGGGAGAGGCGATCGCGACGGGTGGGGAGGGCCAGTGTGGTTGAGGGAGGGGAGGGAGGGCGAGGCGGACGCGGACGCGCGCATGGGGCGTGAAGGAGGGGTAGGTGATGGGTGAGGAGGAGGAGGAGGTGCCGTTCGTCAACGGAGGCGGGGAGGAGGATGCGTACTACACGGAAGAAGAGAGGTCAGAAGGGATATTGAGAGCGAAGCACCACCCACATTCTCGGGAATCCCATGGGCAAACGACGACGGGCCCGCCGCCGACTGGCCCGCCCTCGACAGAGTCGGCCCCCGACTCCCTGTGCGTGGCCTGCTACCATAATCCGCCCCCAACTGGTAATTGTGGGATACGTGATCTCGGCTGGGGATCTGATGGGCTTGTCTCAGATTGTCTGTACACGATGGCGAAGCAGAAAACCTACCGCGAATGCCGATGCTCTGATCGAGCGAGTAGTTCGGCCGGGTCGTCCCGTGCTGCTGCTGTGTGGGGTTGGCAATCCGCTCTCGAGCGGGGGCGTCCAACAGCTGATGCTGCGCGTCCGACGACGATGACGACCGTGGACGCCAAGCCCGCAAAGCCGTTCGTTCATGGACGTCGAGCCTGCCGCTGCTGCTGCTGCTGCTGAACCCGTTAACCATCGGCGCCCGCGCTGTTCGCCCCATTCGCCCCGTTCACCGAACTGTACCCATTCGACATGGGCGCCGCCGCACCCGCCGCCCGAAGACGACGACGAAACCCGTACTCGAGGTGAACGATATCGGCGCCTTCGGCGCCGCCGTGCCCTGCTCGCCCACCTCCCTCTGCTCCGCATCGAAGCCCCCAAACGAACGCCATCGGCATGCGCTTCAGCAGCTTCGTGAACGCCGTCTCGCAGATCAACCGCACCCAGGAACCGAATCGGCGTATTCGGCCACCGAGGTCTGCGACGACTGGTTGTACACGCCGATTAGGTCGAAACTCGTACCGGTTCTTGAACATCGTCGTCTCGTTCGTCGGTGCGCTCGCCATGTTCGGCGGTTAGTCTGCGCGTCTGGGTTGTAACACCATTTTCTTTGCGGCCATAGAATGGAAGCGCACGCACCCCGTCCCGCCTAAGAATAATCGGCTCAACACAAATGACCGCGCCTTGTCAAAGTCCGCGCGGTTGCGCACATAGAGCAGCAGGACGTTGTAGTCGTGCAGGTTACGTCTGCAGCTCCTTCGGGAAGGCCGTGCCGCTACTCAGTGCCGGATGAGGGACAGGACAGCAACGGACGGGCAGCGGAGCATGTGCGAGGGGCAGCGGGAAGAACGGGGTCGGCGACAGTGGCAGGAACAGCGGCAAACAGGAGGATACCCGCGAAACGGGCACGGGCGGCGACTGGGACGGCGAGGCCCGGGTAACATGTACGTGCGGCAGGCGGCAGCAGACGCGATGGAGCTGCAGGACCAAGCGCATCGCTGAGATGGAGGGAGGGCGCAGTGCACGGGAGTTACCCGGAGAAAGAAGCCCGGCCGCGGCGCAGAGGGCGCCAGAAAGAGCGGAACTTCTGAACATGCAGTGCATCGGGTGGTCACAGACGCGGGGAGCAAAGAGGGTATACAATGGCGTCGAGGGTTAGAGGAAGCTGGCACCACCTCCTGGAGTCCATTATAAGCCAGATTAGCCAGCGATAAGGCCTGGCAAGAGAATTTGCGTTCTTGTAAGGGAGCTTGTCTTGTAAGGCTCTTACGACACATTATAACGTGATGCTCTCATAACTTGTCCTAAGAAGGACAATTTCTCACGTTCTACAGCTTCACTTCTCTCCATGAGCAAGAACACCGCGATTCTACCTAACCTCTCTTACGTTCCGAAGCAAGCTGGTCAGTGAAACTAGTGGAACCGTTGCTTTCTACTCGCTGATTGCACTGTAGACCACGATGAGCTGGCAAGCGCTAAACTCTGGGCAGTGTACATTTCCGAGGCAGAGAAGTATGACAAGGCTCTGGTCGAGAGCTGGAAGTCTGATATGGATGGACTGCTGATATTTGTACGTCTGTATCAATACTGAACTGTCACTCGTTCTGAATGACCAACACAGGCCGGTTCTCTGCTAGCTTGACGCGTTCTCATGAAAGTTACAAGACTTTGAGTCCAGATCAAGGCGCGATGACAATCACACTTCTAGCACAGATTTCGCATCAGCTCGACACAAGCTCGAGCAACACATCCATGGCAACCACCGATCCCTCATTACCACCCCATCAGCGCAACACTAGCATGCAACATTCTCTGGTTTTCAGTCTAGGATTGAGCCTGTCCTGTGCTCTCTTGCAACTCTGGTCCAGCAATGGGCAAGAGATTTCATCCAGCGAACGAGATGCGCCCCTCGCCGGTCACTCGCAAGAATTTTTCATATCTCTACTTTGGGATGCAGCGATTCGGCATGCATACAATCGTGGGATTTATCCCTCTCCTTTTGCATCTTTCTCTCCTCCTATTCTTCGCGGGCCTTGTCGCATTTCTGACCCATCAACCAAGTGATGGTGATTGTGGCAGCTCTTATGCTGGGCTTGATCTCAGCCATTTACATCTGGCTTACAATACTCCCAATAATCTCATCAGACGCCCCATATCGAACCCCGCTATCGAACGTGGTCTGGCAGGTGTATCAGCGCTTTTGGTTGTGTTATACTGGAGCCGAAAGTCTCTTTGGGATGAAGAAAAAGGCCAGAAAGATGACAAATCCCCCCAGTACAACAACCAGCGACCTAAACGGGACGAAGAGTGTGGAAACGCAGACCGCAAACACCACCATGACAACAGAAGCATCCCCACTTTGATCGCTGTGATGAACCAACATGCTACCGAGCGTTCACCCCAGCAAGATGACCGTGATGGCCGGGCAATCTCTGGACCCTAAAATCCCTGACAGATAATGACGAGCTACAACCATTTGTGAAGCTCTCCCAGATCTTATATGGGGCCCAAATGGCAGGCGACACATGCATGACACCATGATATATGCTCCTAGCAGACCGGAATATTCAGCTCGTGCAGCGGATTGAGATCTTCTCCGTGTGCGACAGTGGTCTGCTTCGTTCTGATCATGAAATGTGGCGCGCGCACCTGCATAAAGGCACTTTGGGCAATTGCATATTTTCTTGCATCTGATGCCTCAACACAAAAAACCTTGCCCATGTTTGATATGAATTCTCTATCATCCCAGCCTTCATCCTGACCCCAAAGTCTACTCATATTCAGTATCTGCATCTGCGGTGGTCCAATGGATTGGGTTTTGTGCAGTTTCTCGGCTCGTCCAGGAAGTGTTGGCCATGCTGGCGACCCCAACTATCCAAATCCTGGGACCATCCTCGCTGCACTCCGTGCAATTGAGCATGAAGCAAATGCACGAGGATACACTGATTTAGTTCTGCCATCTCTCACATCACGGGTGATACAATGCCACCCTTGCCACAACTTCGCGATACCCTGGATTCTTTTGAAGACAAGGCATATGACAGCTTTATGGAATACATTCAATCCTCTCCTGGCCCAATGAAATGCCCTTCGAGTTTCGGGCTACCTGCGAGATAATCCAGCCGCTGTTAACACCAATCAGTTCAAAAGTTCAAACAAAACTTGCGCAATCATTGGACACTGTTATCATCACTATTGGCAGTAGCATACTAAGATCCTTGGCAACTGGAGAAGTTCACCAAGTTGATGTCATTGTCGACATGGTGTTCCAGCTACTCCAGTCAGGTTCTGAGTCCATGGTGATTGGATTAGGACGGCCAATCTCCATTTATATTGCATTCCGAAACGCAGGCAACGTAATGGATAGATCCTTGCAACGGTGGAACCCAAAGCAGTTATCGTTGATACTTACAAAACATCTTTCCAATGGGGCTGACACATATTTCGCCTTACATTCAATCTGGAAGTTGTGCATATACCACCCTCAATCTGCAGCCTTCACCGAACAAACTCTCACAATTGTTCATGGCTTTCCCCAGTTTCCCCATAGCACAAGTGTCATTGCTGTATTGAAATTGCACATCCTCAGTGCAGCCACAGAACTCTCACCAGATCAAGCACACACTTTGATGGATAGACTACAGATTTCCCCTTCCACAGACCTTGCAGAACGGTTGAAGGGAGCACCTTTCATGGTGTTTGTTGACTGGTCTGAAAATCTTTCTAGTAGGAATGAAACACTGGCCAGCACCTTCAACTTCTTATCTCATCATTACCCCAAAGGGTGTTATCCTGTATCATTCCAGCAGCCCTTTACCACTTGGTTCATTAACACATGTAATGACCCATCCATCAGCTCAAAGCCCCATGTTGTGAAGCTGGTCGAAGCTATTGAAGACTGGTTGCACTATAGAAATGGCATTGAACATTTTGACAATATCGAGGCATGCCGAAAACTCAAAGAAG